TAAATAAATAAATAAATAAATAAATAAATAAATAAATAAATAAATAAATAAATAAATAAATAAAAAAGAATGAAACATTCTTTTGTCAGTAAGTGTCTGTCTGAAGTACACCCACAGCAGACATTTGTATAATTTCTTTGTTGAATATTTTTGTTTTTCCATGTTTCAAAAAATTCACAGATCATTCAATCAGATTATCTGGATCAAACGAGCCATGTTCTGGAAGAGTTGAAATCTACCATAATGGCTCCTGGGGAACAGTCTGTGATGATGGTTGGGACCTAAATGATGCTGCAGTGGCCTGCAGACAGTTAGACTGTGGTCCTGCTCTGGGTGCTCCACCATTAGCCTACTTTGGCCAGGGGACTGGACAGATCTGGCTTGATGATCTGGGCTGCTCTGGAAATGAATCTTCTCTTGCTGTGTGTGGCCACAGTGGATTTGGGACTCACGATTGTGGACATGGAGAAGATGCTGGTGTCAACTGTTCAAGTAAGACTGCATATATTACTGTAAAATAAATCCACCACGATAGAGTTACAAAGTAACGCGTTACTGACGTCGGGCCACTTTTTTCAGTAAGAAGTAATCTAACGCGTTGCTATTTCAAATCCAGTAGTCAGACTACAGTTACTTAACAAAATCACTTTGCGTTACTGTGCGTTACTATTTTCTATTACTTACTCTACGCGTCTTGGGGAACGACCGCCGCGACAGCAGCAGCAGCGACAGATATGTAAGCAATGGAGGCAGGAGAGAGATGCGCATTTTGTTGCTAGTAAAACAGGAACTATGTTGAGTTTCTGTCACCAAGTCCGATTGTTATAAGCGGCATTGGGCTTGTTTTGTTTCTAAAGTCGCCTGCAAATTTAATGAGTCGCGGGTTGCGTTTTTTTGGTGCAAGTTTTTGAACGTGAAGTTCCTCATTTGGGCTTCGCGTTGCGCTCCAGAAAACTGCAAACATCGAGACTAATATGAACAGCGCAATAAACGTGGAAAAACAGCCACGAATGAACGACTCCGTAAAGTTGTGGAACCAAACGCCATTATAATAAATATTAATTTAAGTGTCACAAATCTGTGCAGAAGGCCATCTGAGTTGTGGAGCCGCAGGGGAAGCGCTGTGCGCTGCTCTCTGACAACAAACGCAGGGCCGTAACACAACCTGGAGGCTGGGGCGGGGGTCATGGAGGGCTTTAAAATCCTTCAATCCTAAAATCCTTCAACTTCTTAGAGTTTTTCAGACAATAGTAGAACACACAAATTACAAACTTTTTTTGTACTGTTGTAACCATTAAACAATCTCCAGTTCAGTTCAACCATGTAAGTGGAGACACGTTGTTGATGTTATAAAATAACTTGCAACTAAGTATTGGCAAAGCTCAAAGTAATATTCACAGGTGGTAGAGCATAGTTGTCAGCAGCTACTGATAGTAACTACAAAAAGTTACTTTTAATGTAACTTAGTTACTTTCCAAATCAAGTCGTCAGTAATCTAAGTTACTTTCTCAAGGAGTAGTCGCTAATCTGATTAAAGTTACTTTTTCAAAGTAACTATGCCATCACTGTCCACCACAATTAATACTCTTTTTCTCCTCACTGAATTTGAGCATAACAATGTTTTAAACTCCAGCCTGCTTGTAAACACACAATAAAACCCGTACCTTTATTTTTATTTTTTACATTTTGGGACATTACAAACACAAACTTGAATAAAACATAATTGTGAAGTGAAAGGAAAATGGCAAATGTTTTTGTAATTCTCCGATATGAAAGTCTGAAAAGTGTGTCATGCATTGTTTCTGCCTCTTTGAAATTATTTTCAAATATTGCCACATTTTCCTGCATGTTCCTGATTGATGCCACCTGCCAATAAATGCAGTGGGTTTGTCTGCAAGTGACTAATTTGCTGTCAAGATTCTCACCAGTGGTTACACCTGGAGGAAATTGGAGCATGTTGTCAATGAAGAACATAATAAAAATGCAGCCAGCTTTTTGCAGGTTCACTATTGTCCATTTTTAAATTAGTTTGTTTTTAGTCATACATATGTCACATTAAAAAGCTTCATATGTTTGGGCTCTCTACTTCTATCACACAATCTTGCCATTTTAACAAGGAAGTGTCATTTTCAAGAGTCGCGATATGATTAAAACAAATTTAAGTTTGTGGCTTCAGTGTGACAAAATGTAAATAAGTTGGAGAGGAATTAACACTTTTGCAAGGGAGTTTTGATATCCAACACCTTTTTTGTTTGTGAAATACTGATGATTTCTGTGTTTTCTTGTGTAACTGAAGATCCTCAGATCAGGTTGGCTGGTTCAGGTGCGTCATGCTCTGGAAGAATTGAAGTGTACCACAGTAACTCCTGGGGAACAGTCTGCAATGATGGATGGGACATGAATGATGCTCATGTTGCCTGCAGACAATTAGGCTGTGGTCCAGCAACAAGTACCAGTACAGGGGGTGCATTTGGCCCAGGTACTGGACCAATCTGGCTCGATGAAGTGGCATGTTTAGGAAATGAAACTTCTTTGAGTGAATGTCAGCACAATGGTTTTGAAACACACAACTGTGGACACAGTAAGGATGTTATTGTTGTTTGCTCAGGTAAGAATGACTTTTTAAAAAATATATTTTCTTATTCAGATAAAAATTTTTTTTGAGTAGCTTGAATGTGTTTTGCATTGTTACAGATTCAGGATTCCTGTACATGCTGCATTTGGATTTTTTACAATATTTTGATTTCATTTTGCATGCCTGATAGGTGCCCCAGTCCGATTAATTGGGTCTTCTCAATGCGCTGGTCGAGTGGAAATCTATTATAATTATTCATGGGGAACAGTATGTGATGACGACTGGGACATAAATGATGCCCAGGTAGTCTGCAGCCAGTTGGGCTGTGGTGCAGCACTGGCTGCCCCTCGGTCAGCCAACTTTGGGCCAGGAAGTGATAAAATCTGGCTTGATAATGTGGGATGTGCAGGGAGCGAAAGACATCTGTCTGATTGCTCACACAATGGATATGGGAATCACAACTGTGACCACAACAAAGATGCAAGTGTGATCTGCTCAGGTGAGAATTTTTCATTTTGCTACATACAAGTGTGTGTTTGTGGAAATGAACCAATCAACATCGCTTCATGCCCAGTCAGTTCCCCTGACTAATTAGCAGCGATGCAACCGTCTACCCAACATTCACTTCCTTAGCAATTTGAACTTCCGCAGCTTTTTTGTTGAACTTTCTCTCTTGCTCTCGGTGAAGGCGGACGCTTTTTTTCCTCCGCTCCCTCCCTGCCCATACCTGCCCTGCTTGCTCTGTTTTGTCTTGTCTTTTTCTATATTTTAGATCCTTTCTTTGCACAGCCTCCGAATCTACAATTTATGGATCTGGTCAACCGATCTCTCAATGCAATTGATCAAATTTTCGACGAGAAGTCTGGGCACAGGAGAGCCCTCTTGTCCTGCGAGGACGTACCCGGCGGGATTCACCGTGGATTTATTCATGATAACAGGATTTCTGCTGTTTGGAGCTTGTGGATTCCTGGATTATCAACAAATTTGTGACGGACTTGGCCGAACTAGCGAACACTCAGACTGTTGGTGTGGACAGAGACGAGGACTCTAAAACTCACTAACAAGTTGGAATCGATCTTGGAGAAGTTGCTGGTTTCGGTTCAGTGAAACGACCAAACTAATTTGGATGATTGGGAACTGAGATGTATCAGAGAGACTTTAGAGAAGATTGAAATTTATAATCTTCCCGACCTAAGACATTCTGTTTCTGAATTGGCTTTCCCCATGTGGCCTTGGAAGGGCTGCATATTTCCAATCTCCTTGAAGATATGTAAACACAACGCACTTTCCCACTTCACCCCCTCCTGTTTCCATGGAGCTGTGGAGCTGAGCGCACCCAAGGACATTCTTTGACAATACTTCTATCGGACTTGCCAGGAGCCTCAGCCACCTGGTTTCATGGCCCTGTGAGTCACCGCCTTCACTAGTGTCTCTGTTTTGCCCATTGTTTTGTCTGAATGTTGCCATTTTCCCGAATGTGTCCTTTCCTCTTTTTTGTTTTAGTTTGTTAGAAATGGTGGAGTACTCCCTATTTAACCCAGAAAAGGATTACTTTAATTTATTAGTAATATTAGAAATTGTGGATTACACACCATTTAGATCAATATTATACAGCCCAGAAATGGAATCAGAA